CCGCCACCTGCTTTCTAGAACTATCCTGTACCTTGGCGAATGCTCTAGCATTTACTAGATATAGGGTAGGCTGGTATATAAAAGAGGGTGACAATGTGACAGAATAATGTGTGTGTAGGTAGTGAGTAATTGAACTGCAGTCAGAAGTATTGTTGAAGTTAACGTTCGTTCGATATAGTGTTTGTTTTAACGCGACTGTTGAAAATAAGTTATATTCAGAAAGAATAAACCAGTTTTTATAAAATTTCGTCGGAACGAAGTTACGGAAAGTTAATTAACAAACGGAGACGTAACAGTATATATTTTTAATAATTTACAACAAATTAACTAATACCTGCAATTTGAAAATAAATAAATTAAATATAATTCCTTTGTGGAGGTGAAGTGATAATTTTACGCACAAAGAGGATTTGATTTTGTGTAACAAGTTCAGATCGACATAAAATTAATGAAAGGTATAAAATGTCTCTTTGAAAAACCGTTTCTTTGTTTTATTGAATTTTGAGCAAACCTACCCGTCCCTAATTTACAAGTGATAAAGTAGGAGAATACTTCTCAAACTTTTTCAGCTCGTGGCACAATTTTAATGTCCCGAACTTTTTGTGGGACATGTAAATAAGTCCATATGGCAGGTCTAGCGACACCCTCCTGACTAAGACAAGCAGAAATTATTGTTCCACTGTGTATCAAAGGACAATTACACTGTGTATCAATAAAACAATTTTGAAATTTAAAAATTTATTAAATTGATAACAAATTAATATTACTAGATAAAAATCACATAATAATTGCAAAATTTCCTCGTCACCCATGAGACCCTTCCGCGTCACACAGTTTGGGAAGCATTGGACTAGGAAGCCAGTAGCTAGTCAACACTGCCCACCGCCAGCTCTTGGACTAATCTTTATCAACGAAATATAGAATTGATTATTACATTATAATGCCTGCTCAGCTGAAAAGGCGAGAACGTTAGATGATGGGAGTCGAAGCTGCGACCCGCTGATTGCAAGACTGAAGTGCCCTAACAACGAAACCATTGGGAAAAAAAACAGATAATAATATTGAAAATCCCCAAGGGACCAGATAAAGAACGTAGTGTTTAAAAGTGTAATAGGCCTAATATAATGTCTTATGACAAGTGTAATTATAACAGATAAAGAATGTAGTGTTTAAAAGTGTAATAGGCCTAATATAATGTCTTATGACAAGTGTAGTTATAACAGATAAAGAATGTAGTGTTTAAAAGTGTAATAGGCTTAACACTAATGTCTTATGACAAGTGTAATTATAACAGATAAAGAATGTAGTGTTTAAAAGTGTAATAGGCCTAACACTAATGTCTTATGATAAGTGTAATTATTACAGATAAAGAATGTAGTGTTTAAAAGCGTAATAGGCCTAACACTAATGTCTTATGAAAAGTGTACTTATAATAATGCTTCGACCGTTTGGAAAAGGCGTTCACACCAAAACAATATTTAATTCAATTCGAAGTTCGTAATGCAGTTGGTTCTTCACTATAAATATCAATATAT